GAAAACAGATTAAAGCAACTTCTCTATAACAGAAAGCTAAAGACTTTTGTGTCTAAATAAACAGCAAAAGAAACAGGCAAGACATGGCAGAGAAATATAAAGTCATACATAATGCAAAAAAGAAAGGATAGAGAGAACAAAAATTTTTGCAGTTATGTTTTGCTAATTTAAGGTAATTCGGGCCAGAGAGCTCCTAGCCTTACAGGTCAACAGATATTGTGCAGCCTTTCAGTCTTCCCCCCACCCTACAGTAAGAAAAAAGATGGAAGACAACACTGAAATAATGTAGGGTAATATCTGGACACCCCTCCCCTATAAAAATTTTGTGAATGGGGCAGTGCACTGGCATGAGAAAAAATAGCCTCATCTGAATTTACTGTCACAAGTTATTGTAACATCCACTGGCTTCAATAAGTAGAAGGGTTTTTTTTAACCAAAACTCTGAACTTTATTCTAGGATATCTTCTACACGTTGGCTCGTAAAGAAAGTTTACTTCAGCACTATTAAGTTCAGAAAATTATCTGGCAGGTGGCCACTTGCCTCAATCCTACACAACAATCACCGGACGGCACTTTTGCGTCCTGTGTTCTTTTGATCCAGAAGGAAATCCCGCCCTGCCCGCTTCTTGCCTCAGCGCAGTACCCCTATTCAGACCCCAGTGCACTGAGCACGGAGCAAGCGGCGGGTCCGGGGCAGAGGCACATTCATCCTCGTGCTGCCCTGGATGCGACGGGGCAGCCGGTCGTTACAAGGCCCCCTGTAGGGTTTAGGGCTCGGTGTCTTCCGGCAGGAAAAGCTGGGTCTGCCATCCAGGCGCCTTCTCTGCCTTACTGCCACCCCAGGGCCCGCGGCCTCCCACCTGAATGAGCCTCTGAAAAAACTCACCGCCACCGGCTCGCCGCCTGCCTTCCCCTCACTCAATCCAGGCGCCTCTTGGGCCCCGCTGCCCGGTCACAACCGTCCAAGGCGTGCCAAAAAGGGGGCTTCGAGGGCGGCGACCTCAACCCCGAGGTGCCTGTTTCGGGCTGGGCAAACGGTGGACGAACCCGTGCAGCGGCCGCCGCCTCCGCCTCCTCAGTTCGCGCAGCGGGTCGGCCTCTCTTTCCTTCCCCCCCTTCCTGCTCCAGCTGACGTGGAAGCACTCCGCGCACAGGCCACATCGATAGTACGGCGGCCCTAACGGGACACGGTTCCGCCGTTTGCAGAAACGGCCGCTCGCATTGGGGGAAAGCGCGGCCTCTTCCGCTGCCTCCGCGAGGCGGGTGGAGCCTCGTCGCAGCGCCGTCGTGGCCAGCCCACGGTGGGGGCGGGGGAGGCAGCGGGGCGCTCCGTTCCTGACCTTCGGCTAAAACGGTCGAGTGGCATTTATTAAACTTAGATCCCGCTTTTTCCTACAACGAATTCAAAGCGGCTTACAGTATGTCCTCTTAAACCGCCGCGGAGTGAGCGTGCCTTGCTGTTAATCATTAAGGATAAGTCCCAGCCAGTGCCACGGGCTCATTTGCACGGGCTCATTCCCTGCTTGCTTACCTATTACTAGCCAACGAGATGGTATTTAATTACCAGCTAGCGTGCCTATTCCTATACATATCTATATTGAAGAGGTACTGCGTTCAAAAGAGCGTATGTAAAGATTTGATCCCAGCCTACCATCACTAGGATCTGAGTTGAAAGGTAAAGGTTTCCCCATGACATTAAAGTCCTGTCATGTCTGACTCTTGGGGGCGGTGCTCATCTCCGTTTCCTAGCCGAGGGAGCCAGTGTTTGTCCAGTTTCCGTAGTCATGTGGCCAGCATGACTAAACACCGAAGTGCACAGAACGCTGTTACCTTCCCACCGAAGTGGTACCTATTTCTCTACTTGCATTTGCATGCTTTCGAACTGCAAGGTTGGCAAGAGCTGAGACAAAGCACAGGAGCTCACCCCATGAAGGATCTGAGCTCCAGCACATGAGTAACTTCTTTGAACGCAGTTTTCTACCCAAATGGAAAACCTGTTTCACAGAATGCATACTTTTTCTCACCCAATTCACTCCCATTATATTTTTCTCACACCAGATCACTGCCCATACATGGCACTCTCACCCAGTCATTGCCCTTAACCTACCTGCATCCATCCTTTCCACAAAAAGACTCTTCTGGCATGCAAACATGCCTGCATATTTGCAGGTGCACCCGCATACTCTCCTAACAAGCAAAAAACTTTAGGGATTCCTCCACATTTCCCTTATCTACATCAGCCCCTAAATTCTTTTTTGCTGCACAAACATGCAGTCACATGCTTGCATATCTATACAACTTCCCCGCCCCGCAGCTCCAAACTGTGCTCCCTGGCCTTCCCACTCCAACCCCTGGCCATCCGATTGACCCACCTCTGCCCTTCCTAGCATTCCCCACTGATTTCACTAGACCCCCAGCAATCCCCACCCTGCTTACCAAGAGCAAGGAAAGGAGTCGCTTTCTAGCTTCCCCCTCACATTTCTTGGAGGTAGGCAGGTTAGAAGAAAGCACCATCCTGCAACCACTTTCCAACTTCATTTCCCAAGAATGCCTCCAAGCCCCACTTGCAAGTCAGTGCCATGCCTGGGAAATGCAGATGGCAGAGGCTGGGGCCCCAGACCGCTTTGCAGAGCCAACCCAAGGCATTTTACTGCTTACCCGCACTCGATATCTGAGGCTTTCTTCCCACTTGCTGCCACAGTTGGCAGCAGCACCAAAGAAGTCCTTCTCTGTGACAGCCCCCAAATTATGGAATGATCTCCCCACTGAGGTCTGTCTGACTCTGTTGTTGTTCTTAGTCTTGAAGACGTGTCCGACCCATCATGACCCCATGGACAACATTTCTCCAGGCCTTCCTGTCCTCCACCATCCCTCATCACCAGGTTAAATCTGCCCTATACATTCAGGCATTTAACAATTTTAAATAGCACCAGAGGAGTGGAGGGGTGTTACATCAGCTATTTTTATCTTGCATAGTTGCATTAATATAATTATTTCAGTCATTTACATGTGGGTTCAAAATTTCTGTAGTGAAATTTTTATTAGCAGTACTATTTTATACTGTATTTTATGAATTTTAAACCACCCAGAGAGATTTGGCGATTAAGTAGTATGAAAATAGAACATTACATGGTACTTTGTCCTTTAATGGGAGTAGAAAACACAATGATAAATATCTGGGATTATGCTGTCCTTGTCATTATGGCAAGAATCTGTTGCAGGAGACAGCTACCTCATATAACTTAGGATATGGCCAGCCTGGGTTTACTTGGAAGTGAGTTCACCTGCAGATGAGAAAGCACAGAAAGGGTAGGGCATCTGAAGGCATTATACTGCCTCTAAATTGTATAGGGAAATGTAAATAAATAAAATAAAATAAAAAAATATCCTGCCCATATGCCAGTCACTTCAAGCATTTATGATGCAAACTAATATTCTGCAGAGTGGAAACAACTGAGACACTGTAAATCACAGGAAAAAAATTCTTCTCTTCCTATACACATTGCTAACACTAAGAGCACACACCATACATTCCTAGACATAAGCTCCATTATGTTCGCCACACATTAAATGGCATGTGTATGGTTTTCATAATTTCTTTTTAAGGTTTTAATCATTCAGACTTCTTCAACCACTGGGTGTAGAAATGTAATAAATGAAATTTAACCGGGCTTATACCTTAGTAATTGTGCTAAAGATAGGCAGCCATAGCCTACACTCTTATACACATTTACCTGGGAATATTAGGTTTTTCTGGTTTGCAATCATGGGAGAAGCAATCAATTGTAACCCATTGAAATCAATGGGAATTGAACACTGGATTAAAATACAGTAATTTTGGTGCAAATCAAGCACTCCTTTTTTATATTTTGGCTACCTTGCCACAAAAGCTTGTCACTGAAATTACTCAAGTTCTTTAAGATTTTTCTAAGCTTTCAGTTATTCTGTGGTCTTTGATTTTAAGATATCATTCTGACCATTAAAACAATCCAGCACAATATTAAAAGGTATCACGGTGACTCATCTAACATAGTTATAGCATAATAAAGGTCTGGATTAGAAACATAAGGAGAAAGATGAGAGACCAGTAATATGGATCTGAACTTCATCATGCTTATTGTAGTCCTACCTAATTGAGTGGGATTAAATGTAGCTAAGAATGTAAGCTTGTTAGTGTTTCATGCATAGTTTCTACTGCAAACCAGTATGTTTAGTGCTGGATTATACTCCAAGGTCCAGTTTGTGAGAGCTACTATGAATTAACAGTGCAATTTTATGCATGGTTACTCACAAGTAAGTCCTACTGAGTCCACTAAGGCTTACTCTCAGGTGTATTTAGTACTGTAGCCTAAGCAGTTTATAGAGAATTGCATTTTTTCTTATACATGACTTTTCCTTACTAAGAAAAAAAATGACCTCTTAGAAAAAGGCACAAGGCAGCAGCTTTGTTAAAAAGTTTTTCCTTATAGCACAGACTTTGTTTTATCAGCTGATCTTCACTCGTTTTTTCAAGTTTGGGCTTGGACGCGGGTTATTAATTGGAAGGGACGCAATACAAATTGTGGCTTGGATTGTAAGAGAACTTCAGTTCACAAAATGAATAGTACTCTCCCCCCAAGCCCCCCCCCCCCCATGCTGTCACCTATCACAAAAAAATTATGTGCGTCAAGGGACACTCCTGACCAGTGTGGGAAGAGGCTGGAGCCTCTACAGCAGGCCCCTCTCCCATGTTTTTCAGGAGTGTCTCCTGAATCTTCTAAGAAGCTTTTGGTGGGGAAGTAACAAGAAACTGTTTTGTGAATCACCTTAATTTAACTTATTTTACAATTCAGGCCTATTGTATGATTAGTAATAGAATATGACCAATATAAACAGATGTAGTGACTCAAAAGAACAAACCAAATACCAAGAAAACTATAGCAAGCTCTTGAGTAAGATAAAGAAACAGCAGGATCATGTGATTTCTTTAACAGGCTTTTAAAAAAGGAAAAAGCAGCATGTTTCAAGAAAGGAAGAAGTTTATTCCGTAGAGACCTTTGACATAAAAGCAACATGCTTTTTAATATAAAACAATATTCTATAATTTTCTAGAAAATGCTATTTCCATCTCAAGATAAGTGGTCAGTTAATTTGTTGCTGCCAAAATAGTATTTTTGGCAGTGCACTTTATAGCCCAACTCACTCAAATGTGTCACCACAATATGCATTTCAGAATTAAGTAACCAGAATACAAACAAATGCTCCAGTATTATTTGCATTAGTGTTCCATTGGTTCCTCGGCTTTTTCTGATGTATCTTCAGCAGGTTGAGCAGGCTTGAAGAGCAAGGGGAAAGTAAAATATTAGATAGGAATTAAATCAACTTTAACTGCCACCAGTAGCAAGATATAAAGCAATTCTACAAGGAAATATAATACGCTACCGATATTCAATTCAGAGACTGCAGGAGTGAATAAAAGATCTGATATTCACTATTCCAGCCTTCTAGAATCCCATGTGAACAAACCATCTTGTGTTATGCTTTGCTTACTTTTCATGTATTTCACATGTAGTTTCCTAGCCCAATAAGCTGATTTATCTGGTTTATGTTTAATTTATAATAAACATTCTTCTGTGTGATAATAGCACATTAAAACATGTTTATTAACCCCCACAAAAAAAAGAAAAGAAAAATGACAGACCAGAAGAATTTAGTAAAACCTAATTAGTGTAAAACATGTAATTCTGAATACATTCCATTTATCTGCCTCCATTCTCTGAGTGGCCTTCCATAAAAACACTTACTAAAAAATATAATCAGGACAATTTAAATGGTGAAGGTGAAATCCTATTGGCACAAGAGAGTCCTCCTTCCCGCAGCCTCCTGCACTCCCCCCATCTGCCCCAGAAGGTTGGGGCACCTTCCAAAGCAGATTTGGAAGGGCACAGAGGGGTGGGGGTAGGAGAGGCAGAGGAAGTCCATTCATGGAACACTGGATAAAGCCTTTATAACAAAAGGTGAACAGCAGAGGATGCACATTTCTGGAGCAGGGTAGTCAAATTAAGAGCCTGGATAAATAAAATATCTTTCTGGCATCAAAAGGGCAACAGTTTAAATTCCAGGAGGACTATGCTGTGCGGAACGTTCAACAGATGGGATGCCACATCTCACTGGGATCCCTCTCTGACTGCCATACTCTGAATCCCTAAAGATGTGGATGCCTAGAGAAGGGCTTCTGAGGATGATCTTAACAGCTGAGTTTGCTGAAAACTAGGATTTTTAAAAAAGTGATTAAAAAAGTAAAACCAAACACAACTCAGAGAAATGGTAAAGGGAGGCATTCTACAAAATGTCCAAAATGTTTGATTTCATTCCTCTTAAATCAAAAAGCACATATGCATACCTTTCTCTGTGGTCTCTCTTCCAGTCCTTCAAGGAATGGTGCTACATCATCATCATCATAAATAGTGAACTCCATATCTTTACCAACAATCCCAATAGAAGCGTTCTGTTAGATGACAAACTGTATTACTTAGAGACCGTTTCACATTTTCCTTTGCTATTATGGCTTTCACTAGTTACTGACACTCCCAAGGAAGCAATGCAAGAGCATACGTACCATTGTTTATCTATCAAAAGGGCAGTAAGAAAGATTTAGACAATCTTGTGTGTGTGCGCGTGTTAAGATAAATGAAAATGGAGCTGATTCAAACACTATAAATACTCCATAGTTTATGGCTCCAAATCCCAGAGTTCTCTTGTGTGCATGCACACACATGTCCAAATACTATATATCATTTCTCTGTCATAGCAAAAAGAACAAAGCAGGACACAGCAAGAAAATGTTCTAACTCATAAATTTAAAAGCTGGAAAACAGCCCAGTAAATTTCCACACAGGTCTAACAAAAAAGAGCCAGGTTGTCAAATCATACTTTTTGATGAAACTGCATTTTAAAAGGATGGTAAACTGGAAGAGATGAAAAAGGTATGGCTCCGTTGGCACAAGCATTTCAGTGTGGGTACTTGCAGCTTTCATATTTCAAAAGAAAAGGACATGAAACAACACCAAGGAGCAGATCCAAACAAGTGGGCAGGTGCAAATGGGAAGAGTTTTCCATAAGGTGCATATGCCTCAAACTTCAGTATCTGCATTTGACTGAAGTAAGATCCAGAAAATTCTACCTCATCCAAGAATTCCTGGAGTTCCCAATTACTGCTCCATTGATTACTTTAGACCAGAGACTCAAGTTGTGCATGGGTTTCTAAGTTCTGCAACCCACAGAGCTTTGGAATTATATCAATCGAGTTGCATTGGCTGCGAGTCTCATATATGGTTCCCAGTCAAAACAGTGCCGAATAGATTTTAAACTAGGATGACAAATGTTATTTACAAATAGATGCCATGTTTTCTGGTACCCATGCAATATATGAAGCAACGCATGACTGTGTTGCACAAACATAGCCATTTATGACAGCATTGGTGTATGGCGGACACTGCCACAGCCGACCAGGTGCAAGGCCACCCGCTGAGAACGGCTCCTAACTAGACACAGGAGTTCAGCCTTGCTGAGCACCCCTTAAGAGTTGAATCTTTCCTTGACATTAACACAGCGTTGGTGATTCAATCTTAACTATTCTGGTATGTGAATAATCACTTGAAAATTTCAGCTCCTACGCGGAAGAATAGGTAAGATTGATTGCTCTTCCACACAGTTCATAGCTACTGTTAAACCATCCTCCTTGATCTCAAGGCAGACGGCAAAGAAAAGAAATCCCAGCACTTGCCTTCGTAGTCAGATCCTGCTCGGCAGGAAGTGTTTCTCTCAAAGCGCGCAGTCCGTGCTTAACTAGTTCGTTCAGGTTACCTGCAAAACATACACACGCCAGTTCAGGAGCATAATGCATTTCTCCAGCAGAAGATGTTTCAAAGCATTCCCTTGTTCCCCACTGAAGTGACCAGTAGCCTGAAGTGACTGAAACATTTGTTCAGCAATAAAGCACCAAGAAATCCACATAATATACAAAAGAAAAACATGTGCCAAAACAGCATGCAGAAGAGACCTATAACTTACAGTCTGCAAACTCAGTCATGTGTCGCTCCAAGTAAGTTCGAGCTGACTGGGACCTTGCACCAATGGACATTGCTTTGCAATCGAAGTAATTTGCAGAAGGGCAGGTCTGGAAAATATGGGGACCCATATCCTAAAAAAGAAAAGGCAAAAAGGCACATTTTAGAAAAAGGAAAGTTGTCAGAGATCATACCTATGCCTTCAGCACTGTTTTGTTTCACTGTGTATCATGCATATGAAATCTATAGCTGAAGCTTATGTATTATGTGACGGCACCCTTTTGAAGTCACTGATTTTCTGTGCAAAGATTACACAAATGATACTTGAATCATGTGCCGGTTCAAGAGCTGGCCTAAGATTGTAAGCATTTTCCAGTAATACCAAAAGACTTGCTCTGGGATAGAAAAACTCTCAAAACAACTTTTACAATCTTCCAGTAGATATTCCTTGCAAAATGAATAAAGGACAACCAAAGCACTTACATCATAACCTGCAATGAGAAGTCCCACACCATATGGTCTTCTGCCGTAGCGCTGTGTTGGTATCTGTGTTTCTTGAACAAGCTAAGGAATGTGTCCGAAATGGCTGCTTCACATACCCATATTTCATTTATTTATTTTTAAAAGATTGATGCAGCACCCTTTAACCTTGAAAAAGGCTCCCAAGAAGGTTTACTAAGGCATAGAATTCAAATACACTGGCAAAAAGCAGAGCACTCAAATTTAAAATAGCCACTAGCAGAGCATTTTAAAACAGTGTTATTACCATCGTGCTATTATTAGGAAGGACTCGGGGTAGAGCAAATGCCTGGTGAATGAATGTGAACAGTCAACATACTTGACATTTTGGAAACTTTCTGCAATGGGAACAAGTGGTATACAAGCACTCTTCTTTGATCAGTGCTCCTATTTCACAGGTGCAAATTATCACTTAATGTTCAAGGTGTGTTTGTGCAGCGGGGGAGAGGAAGTCTGACAAACAGTAGCTGAGTTTCATTCCTCTTAAATCAAAAGCTTTTCAGAAATGCTGAGTTTTGTTTTGATTATTCAGTTCCATAGCTGAGGTTTTCCAGAAATCAAGAGATCCAATGCCTTCAATATCAAAGCAAAGAGTCTCAAATGATCTGTACTAATTTAGTTCCCCTAAAGGCAAGACATTAAACAATAGATTTGATTCAGTCAACAGCAGTAAGGCCACTGACCATGTGGTATCAGCATGTCAACTATACACATCCCAAGACAGTCATTACCAAAGAAAAAGAAAAGGATACTGCTTCCAATCAGAGATACTAGCCGAGACACTGGAAGAGGTCTATCAAATACAAATCTTGAATCCAGACACTCCTGACGCATGAAATTGCTGCAGGATTTTTAAAAAAGAAAGAAAAGGACATGAATAGTTGGCTTGTTATGCATGATGTTTCTTCCAGGTATAGCTTCAGATTTTCTTAGGGATATCCTTTAGAATTTATGATTGTACAATCAGAACACACTTCCAGTGTAGTAGAGCAGGTACAGCACAGTGGCAGGAGGGTTGATCAGGGTTGCCCCCTGCTCAAATCTCACCCTCACCATCTGATCTCATCCAGAAGTCACTGGATGGCTTTCAGATGCTGCTATTCTGTCCATTTCAGTTGTATTCCTCCCACCTCCATCTGTAAGGGAGGCACACCATCAGTTCTACACCTTGGATGAACACATGTGGTGGTGAAGGCTGTATCCCCTGAACAGCTGCCTGATGTCCATCCAGGTTGCCTATGAAGATGGATAATCGAGTGGTTGCTCATCAGGCAAGTGCAGCAGTGGCAGCACTGGGCAGGCTGGAGCGCTGCAGCCCTCTCCACGCATTCACTCCACACGCGAAGGGAGCCGTGCACCTCCCTAACGCTGTCCCCCTGCACAGTGTCATTCTAAGAGCTGAAAAGAGGGCTGGTGTGTGTGTGGTTCTTTTTACACGGAAATATGCCTTATAAAAGGCACATAGTAAAGAGCAAAGGCAACGCCAAATGTACTGAAGTTGTTCAGGTAACGTATTTTTTGAGACGAACATAGATCAGCATATAAGTGTTAGGGATGGACTTGTGAGAAGAGGTTCGAAGCCCAGCTCAGCTCTAAAGACACTGGGTGGTTTGCTGAAATCACTAAGCAAATAACCAGGGGGGGGGGGCTGCTTTGTTTGCAGAAATAATCTGACAGCTGAGCAGTCAGATCCAACCAAACAAGGCAGAGGAACTTGCTGCAGAGGGGGTGACTTACTCATTGCCCCCTTTCACAATCAAAGCTCTCTCACTTCTTTGCTTTCTCTTGACAGCTTACCTTTTAACAGCTGTCAAGAAAGCACTGTACTACAGTCTTGCACTGGAAAGTTTCTTATTTGAGGGTTCTGTGATTTTGAGTGCTATTACCATCGAAATACATTACTGATAGAAAATAAATGTTAATATTAGTAAAATTAACTAACATTAACACTAGCATGCTTCTCACAGAATTCAGGAACCGAGAAAATGAAATGGAAATCAGATAAGACCTATACAGTTCGTCTATTAATTGTATCCAATGCCACATCTCATTGTAGCATTGTGGGTTCAGCATGATCATTACATCAAATAAAGCAAACTGCAAACTTACCACAGGAGTCTTGCATCAGCAGTAAGTCCAGCAATTGAAATCCCAATATGGTTGTCAACATATAGGATCTTTTTCTGATGTGCTGCCAGCTCAGACTGTGCCCTCTATACATGCAAAATTGATTGTGGATAAAACACACTTATTACAACAAGAACGATTCATTAATACATCTCTAAATATCTATAGCAATAACTGACCAGAGGCTCATAAAAGAAAGGGCACTCATTCATTTATCCATCTCCACATATGAGTAGTCTAATGCTGCATACAGTTCATCTATATGATCCAGTATTGTCCACTCTAATTGGTTTTGTCTACTCAGGCATGAAGCATTTGCAGCCCAGCTGAGATCCATTTAGCTAGAGATGCTGTGGCTGAAACTGGGACCTTCTACATTCAAGCCATGGCTTGGATCCTAAACTGTTCTCTACTCACATAAGGGGAGAGGCTATTTCCACACTATATCTCACTCCAATCCCAAGTCCCCAGACCCCAAGAGCACTTTTCCAGGGGTACAAGGAGAGGTAGAGGGAAGTTGGAAAGGTCCTTTCTAAGAATATGAACTTTGTTCTGTCTGTGAAAAGGCAGGATTCAAAGCCATGTACTGCACCACCTGGCTACATTCCATCCTCATGAAATGCAGTCAGTTTCCTTGGCAAAAGAAATGGAACACATCAAAAAAGACAGGTACTTTTTAGCAAAGGAAACAACCAGAGGTCTACCGTTTTTGGTGGGCTAAGCCAAAAACTGTACCATCATCATCACTGCCTTTTCCCAAGTGAAAGGGTGGGGCAGGAGGCATGCACAATTGAGTACTACTGGATGAAAGAACCCTGTCCACTTTTTGGCAAAGATGTCCTCTGGCCTTTTTCCTGGAAGGAAAGGCCTGTGAAGGAAGCAAGCTTCCCAGTCTGGCCTTGTATGGCCAGGCCCCTTTAGGAGCACTGGTTACTCAGTTAACTAACAGTCTTGGCCTTCCATCCAGCTCTGGAAATGGGAGGGTGCTGCACACTACCAAGCTGGAAGTGGAACCATTGGTGACCAGATTTTTGGAACCTTGAATGTGCAGACACAATCGATATTTGCCACTCTTTTGCTGTCAGCTAAGTTTCCAGTTATGGAAAACCAAGGACCCTTCAGTTTAATAACTAGACTCCTAGCTTCCTTTCTTTTCCTTTCGTTCCAATACAAATTTACAGTGCACTCAAAAGCACCTCAGCATGGTTTATTATTTCCAGCACAGTTAAGATGTACTAAACCATTTTATTGCAATGTAAAAATGTACAACCACTTCTGCTTTTAGGCTTTCAATCCAGTAAAACATTTTCCATTGCTTGCAAAACACACCCGCTAACATATATAACATATGAACTATCACTTTCCCCATATAATAACTCCCCTCCAAAATCATGTTTTCCAGTAGGAGCAGGCAACTTCTTTAGGCTGTGACACACTCGGCTTCTCGAGAAACTGCCCTGGGCACCACTACAAAATGGCTGCCACGGGAAGCAAGAAAGACAAGTAACCTGCCCAAGAGACTGAGTACTGAGCAGTGGTGGCGTCTGAGCCCCACCACCTTAACTGCTTCACTGAACCTACAGTTTTCAGCACTGACAGAAACTATAACAATTCCAATTGCAAATAAGAAAATTGATTTTTTTTGTTTTGTTTTTTAAGTGGGAGGGATGAGGCACCTTGACAGAAGCGTCCAGGGGCACACTTTTGCCTATTCTTATTTTCAGTATACAAACATTGCACACACTTTCCTTCAAAACAAACAAACAACCCCCAAATTTTACTCTACAGTTTACCTTTAAGGCAACCAGAACAGCATGGTCTTTAGATTTCAGCCCGACAGTTGCAGAGCCTTGTTTCACAGCCTCCATTGCATATTCTATTTGGTGAATTCGGCCCTAAAGAACGAAAAGCAGAATGCAAAATCATTGTAAATGTGTGTACTTGGTGAATGAATTTTATACACTGCACTGATAAAAAGCAAACAAGTGGAATTTTCAAATTAACTAAAACCACATTTCATGCTATTTTCTTAACTAATTACTCCCTTCATATACTAATATTTAACACTGTCTTCTCTGTAGCCCTCACTGCAGAGTAGCACAAGTTATAAATCATAGATAGATTTGAATCCAAGTCTTTGAGGGATGCAGCTACGTCTGTAATGCTAACAACAGAATTGACAATGAATAATCTTCTAGGACAATTATTCTGAGAAGACTGCATTGCTGAAAAATAATTCAAAGGCACACCACATTGCAATAATGTACTATCTTTTTTAGTAACTTCTGAACTAACATAGTTCATCACTGGCTTGCATTTGGATTCTCTCTTATCACCACACCCTTCCCAGGATAGCCTCCTACTTTGGGTTACCAAGTATTCCTGCATGCTTGCATGCACTAATTTCATGCATATGTCCCTTATTATTCTACAATTAAGCATCCAGTAGGATGTAACAAATTTCCTAGTATGCTTATGTGTACTTAGTAAGTTAAGTACCATTGCACAGGTTTTGCTCAGGCAGCCTCAAGTACCTTGAGCTACAATTTCCACACTGCTTACTAAATAAAATCTGATGAACTACTTCCCATTTCAGATCGATCCTTTATGGTCATATACAAATAGAACATAAAACAATAATTTATATTGTTCTAAAAACACTGGAGATGCTTATACTTACCTACAAATGTAGCATTTTAAAAACAGGATATCCATTACATTTCTCACAACATTTGGGCAGCTTACTAAACTAATTTCTGAAATGCTTCACCATCACATTCCTTTGGATACTAAAATAGGCTACAAACCTTTTGATGCCCATATCACTGCAGTAACAAAAAAAGAAAAGCAAATATGCATATAAAAAGTAACAAAATGGAGAAATAATACCTGGGGGCTCCAAACAGTGACATCATTGTCATACTGATTACGAAACTAAAGGGAACAAAAAAAAAAAAAATCCATTACAAAGAACAGCAATAACAGGTGGAAAAACAAAGCCCAACCTTCCTTACTATATACTTATATTTTTCTAACTGAAACAAATATATTTTGAACAACTAGATCTTTGAAAGTATATTAAACTACAGGCATATGACTGTTATTTTTATAAGTTTCAACAAATTTTGAATTTTTAAAAATACCAACAGGTAAGCAGCTTGCAATTATAAGGGTTTACATATAAGGGTTTACAAACTCCCACCATTGCCCAACCAGCCAAAAGAACAAGGTAAGACAACAAAAGGCAGCAGAATTGCCCAAAGTAAACTTGAACAAATGCAGTAGCATGGACACTTATTCAAATCACATTATTATGAATCAAGAGTAAGAAATGATTATTTTAAAGAATGCCTGAATAATTAATGGCCAGGATTCCAATCTTTAACAAAGACCTCAGAAACAACTTCCACTTTCTAATAAGTATACTGAGGCTTGCAGACTTCAAGCTGCAATCCCACTTCTTAATTCAAGAAGAGTTTTGCTTTCGATTTCCATAGCAGTAGTATCCCATGCTTTTTGACTCATCATCGTTATTTGCTTTATGGCGCCAGGCTAAGACCTTTTTATTTAAAACTTACTTTAATTGTTAATTTATTTATTTAACTAGGTTTTTTTTAAATTTTAGCCGAGAATGCACTGAGGTTTTATTGAGGTTTTATTGTACTGGGGGGGTTTATTGTATTGGGGGTTTTAATGTATGGTTGACTTTTTTGATGTTATGAGCCACCCAGAGGCTTATTGTGATGGGGCGGCATAGAAATGTTTTAAATAAATAAATAAATCAGTTCAGAGAAAGGATCAACTAGCCACAGAACTGCAAATGGAAAACTTTGCTAACTACTGCAGTAACACCTAATCATAACACTCAAATAGGTTTCAGTTCTATTGGTAGGATTGGATCCACTGTCTGGGACACACTAGAATCTGAAGTTTTTCGCTTCCTAACTCAAGGTAGGATCGCATCCTTACATTGTTATTGTTTTAGAATACATTTTGCCAGCATTTTTCCTGGGCATGATCACATGAGATCGTCAAGGCGCCTTGCTCTCTGGGTAATGCAGGGAGTGAGAATAAATCTTTCGTCTTTCTGAACAAATTGCATCAGATTAATTATATTTAATTCAGAAAGTTGTGCTGAAGCACATTTTATTTGCCCAGAAAGAGTTGGAGGCTGGCATCACTCAGAAGACAACCAATCAATCAAATTGAGTTGTCACCCTGAAAATGATCGAGTGTATAAAATGCTGACTCATAGGGTAATGGTAAAAAATCGATAGGTAAAAAGTCAAGCAGGTGCGGGAGAAACGGGGAACCAGACAAAGCATCAAGTTTGGCTGAAGAACAAGGAAACTGAGATATTTGGCGAATGGCTTCCTGTTGCATTGGCCTTAAGAAATACAAAACTAGATAGTGATTATTTTCATGTATCAATTGTTAAACAATTGGCTGAAATGCGATTTCCAAGAACATGCTTTGATTCCGTTTTGAAGAGAAGAATTTAGGGATTTCGACCTGAAACGTTTCATTACCCCCCCCTTTTTTTTCTTCCTAACAAACCCAACAGACTTTAAACAAGAACCGAGGAAATGATGCGAGGGGAACTGGTGTCCGTGTCAACAACGAAGAATGCAGGGCTTGAAGGGGAGAAAGCTGATGAGCGCACGGAACAGAAACGGAAGACTTGGGGCGGCTTGCGAAGAGAGCCGCCTCCTCCTCCGCGATGGACCATCCAGAGAGATGCAGGGCCAGCGCTGCTCGGTTTAGGAGTTTCAAAGGTGGCGGGAGGCGCGGCTATCTGGGCCGCAGCCCCGCCATCACCGGGATGTGCTGACTCACCCCTCCCCCCCAGCAACTCGGACAAAAGAGAAGCAGCCTCTCTCCCTGGCTCTTCGGACTCGCCTCGGTTCTCCCGCCCGCCCCCGGTTCCCATTTCTCTCACCATAGCAGCTGCTCTCGGACACCAGCGTGCGCGAAGGACCACCGAAGGCGGTGAAAGAATGAACAGCTCAGTGAGCGATAGGTATGGCTTGGACACTTCCTTCCGGCTTGTGCTGCCCAGGAAGAGCAGCCAATTACCGAGCTTTCGATCAGAACTCGTCTTACTCCTCCTCCTTGAAGAGCCGCCGGTTAGCTGAGCAGAGTTCGGAAGTGCTACGCCTCCAAACTGGCGCATGCGCTCTAAAACGGGATTGGACGGTGCTGATGGTAGCTGGTCGTAGTAAATCCTGCTTCCACCTAATACGTGGCGGGCTTAAGAGGTGGGTGGGATGCTGTACGGGACGAGGTGCAGAACACCGTGAGGAACACTGTGCTCCCTCGGAGTCACGTTCGTGTACGTGGTAGGCTTGTGGAGTATTTTCTCCCGGCACGACCATATCAGATGGCGGGGGCGTCTCGATCTCTGAGCAAAGCAAGGGATTAGGAATAAATCTTTGTAGTGAGTGCATTGTAGTGATTGAGATGTCGAGTCTGAAACCGCTGGGGTAACAGAAAGCGAAGCATTTGTGATCACTGCATGTGCAGAGTGATTTATCGATATTTGGACGTAATGCTATTCGTGATCAGATAGAAAAGTCCTACAAACTCAAGTGTTTTATCTATTTCCACGGAATTCCCCCTCAAAACCCTGCTTCTAAAGGGATTCGAGTTTTGACAGGTACCGGTCAAACTCGGTTTGCCTCTAAAAATGAGGGGTAGGATACACGTTTAGCCTTTACCAACCTCGGCAGAAAGCTCGGGATGAAATCCAAAATTTGCTCCTGCGTGGAGACTTCAGGAAGAAAACCAACAAAAGATCTTTGATGAACGAGTGTGTAAATCCGAAAAAGCAAGCCGTCTCGGCAAGAGCCATCGTGGCTAGCTTTTTTCTTGACCCTTTGAGGGGGCGGGCAGAGAAAGAATTTCGGGCCTCTTCTTGGCAATGCCCAGGGTGGATAGCTGCTATCTCTTGGCTTCTGTCTCAGCCAAAGCTTGCCATCCATGCCGTTGCACTTAATGAGCTTTTGCACAAATACATGCTTTTGTAAAATTATTTTGTGTGCGTATTTTTGGTCGCAAATGATTTAAAAAAGGCTGAGTAACCATGGGCAGCTCCGATGAAGGGATTGTGACTACCAAAATAGAAATCACAAAAGGTAGCTTGACTACTACCTGTTGTAAATTCTAGAAAAACAAAACAATTTAAGGCGGGGGGAGGGGAGCAGTGGCAAACCAGAAATGGGCCATGGCAGCATTGAGGGGAAGAAGGCAGTGCCATCCTTCTGGTCACTTCTGTAATATGCTTAGGTGCATCTAAATGCATATAACCCAGCTGTTAGAAAGTAAATTATATAAAATAAGGCAAAGCAAGTAGCAACATTCTAAAAGCTTTAGTTGTATTTAATTCTAGGTGGGGCTTAATCTATTTTCAGTATCATAGTATAGTGTGTGAAGTATACACCAAAGTAATCATGAAATGTGAATATCAAAAAGTGCTTTGGATCACACAGAGTTGCTCCTTTTTCATTAACAGCAACTAAACTTCTATGGGATTTAGACTCCTCCACATGTACTTGGGAATTGCTAGCACTTGTAAGCCTTCCCAGGCATCAGGCTTTCTGCCGTAGAAGGCCAGGCCTGGGAACACTTTGTCATTGTTCCAGATCAAGTGAGGGTTTTCAGGAACTTTTAGTGCTTAGCAACTTTGGGCTGATCACTGCATTTCTTCTTTTTGGTACTGTATACATGCTGTATTTTTAAACATATAGAACTAGTATTCCATTCAGAGATTACTACTCTGTCCTTCAGACTAGGTTCTAGACCAGCTGACAGTGACTTGAATGATTGATTACATTTGTTTCCTCCCTTTTCTTCCAAAGAGCCCAAGGTTTTCCTCCAGTCCGTATCTTCATAATAACTCTGCAAGTTAGGCTGAGTCATTGACTGGCCCAAAGTGAGCGTCACACCTGAGTGGGGACTCCCAGTATAACACTAAGATCAGGTGTGTAATGTCAAGTCACTATGGGTTGTGTGTAATATCAAGTCACTATTTCCCTGTGGAGATTGTCATTGTGGCATCAGTTACCATTTATAAAATGCAAGCCATGTCAGGCTACGTGTTATGTGTGAACATGAACAGGGTGAGTTCTTCAAGTGATCGACAAAACATCTAGAACTCATGAACTGCGTTAAGGTTGTGGGTGGTTTGTTAACCAACTCTTGTTGGGTTTACATGTAAACAGCTGTTAGCATGCTCCTCTCCTCTGGCTTGCATTTTAAAATAATCAGCCAGCAATTACAAAGCCCATAGGGCAATTAATCCCCAGTGGCTTATTGTTAGGTGCAAACCAGTCCACTGGTTGGTTTCAGTGGATCTCCTGCATAGATGATAGAATATAATTTCATTATTCTCCCGATAAATTACTAACTGATGTAGGGAACTGCAAACCCTGGGGAAGACAGCTCATGGCATTGCTTGCTCTACATTCTGCAAAGCCCTTCTGCACACTCATTTCAGGTCTTTTTGTGAAAAGACCTTCATGCATAAAGTCCTTCTTTCTGGTCATGGGACAGATTAACTTATTCATTTGTGGAGCAACAGGCACAGATATATTAGCTTTGAAAGCTATTATTCCATTCACAGGCTTTTCAAACCTTTGAAAGTTACCCTGCTCATCTTCATTCATGGGTGACATAATCTGGCTGCTTTGGGACACTTCCCTAATTCATATGGATGACATAGGAGGATTTCTGTTAACTTTTCATTGTAACCAACAATATTGTTTACTCCACTGCACTATAATTTTACTGCCATCCACAATCATAGACTGAAATGGCAATTTATCATGAAAAGTAGTTTGGAATTTAGTTCACGCCATGTATTGTCCTTTTACTGTTGCAGTTCCCTGTTCTACTACTAGACTGGAATGAATGCCATTATTATTCATTTAATATTTTATTAAGGCTTTGTTTAAGATATATGTATTGTCAGAACTGAAGACCAGTGAAACAAATAAGCTTTTCTGTTTTTTGGATCTTATTTGCTAGCAGTGTTTACTCAACCATTTTTCTCTTTAGTTGTCAAGTAACAACCACCCAAACTACATCTCCTTATGAACAACCACCCAAGGAAGAACAGCAGATGGTCCAGTTGCTGAAACAAAGAGTTGCTTTCATTCTTAATTTTGCTTCTTCCGCTTTTTTCATTAGGAACTCTCTAATGGAACATTTGACCTTTCCAAAGATGAAAACATAAATAAAATGTTCTTGACATATTGTTCTTTAATGTTATTTGAATTCTGAAAAGCCGCACTTTACTTTTAAAATATTCTTGCTGCCAAGAGGTATCTATTTTCCTCCTTTAAGGAGCTTCTATTATTCATTATGCTTACAGCATGAACTGCAACAGAGATGAGGGGGGAGAGAAAGGAAGGAGACACTTGAGCAGGCTAGTTCTGAAAGACATACTAGGTGCTTCTTACTCTTGGTAGGGACTGTGGAAAAATATGACTCCCAAAATGATCTGTTGTTGAACTGGAACTAAATCTTACTAAAATGAACAAATCTTTCAGCCAATGAAATACGCATACACTTGTAACCTTGTGGTAGATGTTTACTCAGGAGAAAGTCCCGCTGTGTTTAGTAGCGCTTACTCCTAGATAAATATGCACATGACTGACATTTGCTTCTTTAAGGAAAAAAGATGTTCGGAGCAAGGAAACGTTATTACCTTGGTCTTAAACTCAGAAGAAAAATATTTTCTGGTATCTTGGAGTAAACATCACTGAGTACAGCTTCCTAAAACTATGGCTAGAGCTGGATAGCTATTTTACAAAGAAAGAAAACATCATTGGAAGGTTTAACATTAAATTTTCCTGCTATATCCTATGTCATATTAAAGGAGACCTACTCTATTGAAATATCTGGGTTTCATTCTACAGACATGGTCTTCAGTCAGTTGAAAATTTGTTAAATAAACACAGTGAGATCTCCGTTGTCAGTGATGTACAACGCATCTCAAAACCAACTTGAAATTTCATCACTGTGAAAACTGTTGTGCTTTCTGCAATATTGTGGTATTCCTTTCAAATGATTACATCTTTAAAACACCTACCCAGCATGAACACTGAGTCAACACTCAATATAAGGGTTGCCAATTTTTCCAATGGTCAGTCTTTATGCTGGGAAAAGCTTCACCTTCTGATACCTGCAGATTAATTTGCTGTTGTCCAAGGTGCAAGAATGTATCAGGCTGGGTTTTTCTGGAACCTATTTTGCTAATTTAATCTAGACATATTTATTTTTAAATTGTTTCTAAAATGTCACCTGCATTGTAGCAATTAAACTATTAAAATAGGTCACCACTGTTCCAGCATATCTGTGTAACTGCAGGAAATTTTTTTTAAAAAGAATTAAGACTATAGATTATGTTGTCAAGATTTCGACTGAAAAAGATAGATAACAAGATGGATCTAAAGTTTCCTTTCTGTGAATTGGAGGACCCAGTAGAAGCATCTGCTGAAGTTAGTGAAGAAAGGCCATCTTCAGCTGATTCCCTTACAGTTCTCAACCCCTGGGCTGTCACCAATTTTATTCCTGAGAGTCCCCCAACTGTCCATACCAGTTTTTCAGAGGGCTGCTGGGGGAAGGAAGAACAGATGAAAACTGCCTCTCCCCCAAGTGGTGGTATCCCATGAGTGGAGTTCCACTGATATGTGGAGTTCCACTCATGTGAACTCTAGTTCCAGCCCTGTGTCTAATACATTTGAAATTATCTTTGAATCAACCATAACAGCATATTTTATTTAGCAAAATGCTCCACACATTTTCTCAGAAGAAAAGTCCCAATGATTTTATTGGAATTCACTCATAGGTAAATAGAGACAGAGTTGCAGTGCTGAAATCTTGGGGGAGGGGGAGGAACAAGAAAGACCAACGGATGCATGCAGAATTAGGTGGTATTTATTACTCAGGCTTTCTGCTCCTGCTTTTAGCAATATATATCAATAGCGAAATGTCTCTGAATGCAGGTACAGGTGGTTATGTGCCTATGATCTTTTCTGCTGGCCTCTAGCAGCTTCAGCTCATAGAGCTACTTGAAGAGAAGCACTTTGGGCCTGGAAGCAAGTCTGAATCAAAGCCAATAATTATATTTCACATCATAAAATATATTCAAGGCCCATACATTTTGCAGAGAGAGTACGTAGCCCAGTGTTCTGTAGGTCTTAGAAACACATTCATGAAAATAAACAGAAATGTTCATAAACTCACAGTCTAGATGAAGAACAAATCCCAGAATAGCCTTTGTTCATGGAAAAATATTATGAGCAAGAATGTAATAAAGTCAAGGATTTTTAAAAGAATAGTTAGGATGGAATCTTAGGCATTTTAGAAAAAAAGTCCTATAACTGTAAAAAAATTTTCAGTCAGGCTTGTAGTATATTTAGTGTATTCACAAAACTGGCTGTAAATCTGGTGACTGTGGGGCAAGGTAGCAGTCACATGATGAACAAATGCCTGGAAAGCTATCCAAATATTGTTTTCTAAAAATATATTCTACTGTCTAAGAGAGAAATATATTGAGATCATTATTGCTCCTCAAATATCACACACCAATGATAGTGACTTTAAAAGCATGTTTCAGCAGAAAATATATTCTAATTTGCAAACATTGTGAAATGAACATTCAATGAAAGGAAAAGATGAGCCTGTTAAAGTCCTACTTGCCTTGTAGTTGTTAAAAGTGTAAACCCTCTTTTTGTTTTTGTTTTAATATGTAGTTTGATTGCTTTACATCATTGTAGATTGATGCCAAAGGGAACCCATGACAGGTTATTTTGGTGGGACAGAAATGCTAATACGAGTGTCAGAAAGTAGCAGGAGCCCTATAGGATACATACTGTTTATCTTGAACACAGTAGTGATGCAAGCATCAGATGTGGGTTTATTCAAACTTTCCTTGTAGCAGCCTTTTACTGCTCTTACTTTTGCTTTCTCTGTCTGTCCCATCTACTCCTTTTACGTCTCTTCATGCTGTTGTGCTCTAATGTTATGTGTACTTATGTTGCTCTTGCAAGTGATAAATTTTGCAAGACTCTCTCTGAAGCAAGTCCCTGTCTAATTTGCCTGACAAAAATGTATTTCAAATCAGTGCTAGCCTCGTTTGTATGATATAAAAATGACCTTTTTGTGCAGCAGACACATAATGTGAACTGCAGCGTCTCTTAAAAAATTACATGGGTTGGATCCAGATTTATGCTGGCTCATTTGCGAAGCAACTTTATTTCTTCCCCTGACTTTTCTGCAGCAGCCCCTCCAGCCCCCTGCAAATGCTACAAAGTCAGGAAACACAGCTGAATAGTGTAAGCTCTGGTGTTTATGTGTGAGGGGGATGGGATTCCCACAAATCAGATGGAGGGGCCTTCTGTGAGTGAAGCCCTTTTTCTCATGGAAGGCAGTTCCTGGATCAACCTTGTCAAGTCCTACCAGCAGCAGAATCAATCAGTCCTGCTTTGCCAGAGCTGGCAGATTCCTAGTCCTTTAGTGTCTCACCTGGACATTCTTGAATGATGTAGATGCTTGGTATAGTGGACCCTATGGATTGAATTCTGAGAGGCTGTGATGTCACCTGTTTTCCTATTAACTATACTAGAATTCTGGAGAATAATTCTGACCTGGACTGATCTCTCTGTACTATTCCTGAAAACATCTCATCTTTGGCTGATCAGGGCACTTGCTGGCCTAGCAGGACAAACCTGAGATGTATCATGCAACATATTAATAACCCTAGATGGGAAATATTTGCTATTCATGCACTGATGCTGGATTAAGTTTGCAATGTTATAAACAATACTTTTAAAGAAAGGTACCCTGGAAACTGGTACGAATATGCATCATATTGCGATAATGGTGACAGCATACCCCTCATGCTACCCTTTATTCCTTGATACACTGTTGCATGTGACTGCAGCTCCTCCACTTCTAACCAACTCAGATGTCTCAGTATCTCCTAGTCCAGGGGTTGGCAACCTTTAACACTGAAAGAGCCATTTGGACCTGTTTCCCACAGAAAAGAAAACACCGGGAGCCACAAAACCCTTTCGACATCTAAAATGAAGATAACACTCCATATACCATTTTTTACCTTAATGCTATGTATATCTTCATTATGATTTAGCTGCAGCTCTTGTTCAGTCACTAAAAACTGTTATTTTTAATCTTACATTATAAACTAGTAGGACTCTTCATATATTTTGAATAGGAGAACAGCTTCCTGAAGAGTCAAAGTCAGTGCTAAAGGGCTCCATGCATTAAACAGCAAACCCCATAAGTTTGTCAGCAGTAAAAGCAAATGAATCTACCCAAATATCATTAAACATTTGGTTTTCTTCAGAAACTTTTCTTTGATTTATCCAAGCGGATCGGTGGTGGCTGTGATGCGAGTGACGGAGCCACAGCAGAGGCATTCAAGAGCCACATGCGGCTCCAAAGCCGCGGGTTGCCGACCCGTCCTAGTCTAAAAGGGAGTGATCCTATGTCTCCTATACAGCATTTGAGGAGCCAAAAGGTTTTTTTGATTCCTTTATTCATTCATTCAGGATATTACTAGGCTGTCCAATCACTCTGCGCCTCTGGACGGCTTACAAAATTGTGCTCCAGTCTTGGAGCTGAGAATTGAAATTCTGTTCCCCCTCTGCTGCTTGCATGGAAAGGACAATGTTGGCTCCTCTTCAAGGTTGGCAAAGTTACCTTGGAAGGAGAGGTGGGTGTTTCAAGGCATAGGGAAGAGACTTGAGTGGCCAGGTTGATCAGTGCTTTGAAACTGCTCAAGTCTCTTTCCCTCCCCCTCTGAGATGCTCTAGAAAAGGCTCATTTTGAGAAAAGGCAAAGTATAAAGACTGGGACACAAGGGTGGTTGGTGCTATTAGTACCACTCTGCATTGTATACTGCTCTGCATTGGATGCCTGTAAGCCTCTGAGTTCAGATGCTTATGCACATCGTGATAGGCTTGTGCCCAAACATCCCTCAGTCCCCCTTGCTGCTCCTTATCCCTGAAAAACTTTTCCTTATGCCACCTTTCTTGCTTCAAACCACTCCTCAAAAGCCACTTGGCTCATTAAGACTATTTTGATTTCTTATGTATTGTATTGTAAAATACACTTTTTAAATGTTTATAACTATGACATGTGTCTTAAGCTTTTCTACATAAAGCTGTTAATTGGCTATTGATCTGCTTTTGGTTTAGTTGCAGAAAATACCACACAAAGAGCAA